TCACTACTTGATGATGATCAGACATTGAACAGTAGAGAGTATCAGCGACATCGACAAACAAACCATAGCATGATGAGATAACATTCATCACTGTGACAAAGGTATTGGTTTCTGCACTCCATTTCTGTACTCGACCATTCTTGTGACCATCATCAAAATAAATATCACCATTCGATGTCACGAAGAGAGAATTGGATGCTATAAAATTACCGTGAATGATCTTTGTTGGATTGATACTCTCTTCATGCCACATTACTATTGTGTTATTCTCTCGATTAGCAACATAGATTGTGTCGTTTTTGCTCCCAAAAATGGCAAGAGGATATTGACCGACAATCGACTGATTAGCAAAGGTAACTCCATTGAAATTCCAAGTGGCTTTTGAGCAAAACTGTGGCTGATTGAATGAAAGAGCTAAACACAAGAAAAATATAAGGAATATTAGAGAGGAACTGTAAACGAAATGAAGCTATTGGTTTCTATATTTGTAGAAGAAAAATAAAGTTTCTACAAAGAATTTTTTCATAAAGAAGACATTTAGAAATGTTTGCTAATATTGATTTTGGGAATGATTCTTATTAATTTTGATATGAAATAAGAGTTGCAATATTGTTAAAATATTTTTGTTTAAGACATCGATATTGATCATTTTAGATAAGAAATTTTATTATTACTTTTTCTTGAAAAATCTTGTGGAAGATCTGAATAAAATTTCGTTCAGAAATAAAAAATAATGTCACTACATGTCATATCAGTACTGAACGAAAAAAATGAGAGAAAAAAGACAATTTTTTATGATCCGCAAAAAGCCTTCTTGTCTCTCTACAAACGTTCTTTCCACAAATTATCGCACGAAAATTTTTTATCTCAGTAAATTTCAAAGGTTCATCAAAGATCACAATATTTCGTCTTTGTTCAATATAAATAAAACAAATCTTTCTTTGCAATCTTAATAGTATTTTACAAATTTCAATATTTTTCCTTTGAGATAAAGAACAAAACAAGAAAATGTTTATTCTCATGTGAAAAGAATAAATAATTCTCTTAAAACGAAAATAATCATTAACTACACATCTTCAAGAAAAAGAAAAAGAAATTTAATTGTTGGTAAAACTAACAAAGTAGTTATCAATCGAAAAAATTTTGCTCATTGAAGTTTAGAAATGTAAGCAAAACTTTGTTAATTGACTTATGTAAAATTTTCATTTAAGAACAATCTCAAATAGATTTGATTAAAAATCAATTTCTCTCATTGACCATCTTAAATGAATAAATTTGATAAAACAAATAAATATTTTTATTCAAAATCAGGATAAGAGATTTGATTTATTTTATCAAATAGATAACTTTATTCTGTCATAGAAAATATTCTTTGTTTACAATTATAGATTTTTTTTAACCATTGAATATTACTCTCTACAATTAAATATTATGATGACTATTGAAAGAACAAATCATCAATCAAATATTTCTTTACGAGAAAATTCATTTTTCATAATATTTCTTAATAAAATTTATTTCTCTCAAAGAGAAACAATGACTAAATTCATTTTTCACATAAAAAAAGAAGAAAAATTAGTTATTAGAATTGTCACATTTTATTTGTCCTATTTTCCTCGAATCAAATATATCGAAATATAAGATATGAAGTCAAATTATAGAATAATTTATATCAAAACTATATCGACAAAGATATGAACAGATTTTATCTCGATAAAAACTGTCTCATGGATGAAATATTCTTTGAGACATATGAAATGAAACATGAAAGCCATTTCTACTACTGCATTAAAGACAGAACTTTTTCTTTCTCTATTCTTTAATTTGAACCAAAAGATGAAGATTGTTTGTCTTATACGATCAAGACATGGCCCTGTCTAATCTGACAATTTCATTTTCTTAGATGCATTCATTTACACATTGGTTTGATCAATCTTTCACTATCATTTTTATTTGCTTTCGTTTTTTTACATTGAAGTGTCTTTACTAAATTCTGTTACTTATCTACTCACATCTCTTCATTTCATTCAAGTTTTCCTCAACTTACCAAAAGAATCTTTCATCAGTAAAAATTTTTGAATTCGAGAGTTTCTTTGATCAGCAACAAATATGTTTCCGGAATGATCAAAGCTGAGACTAAATGGGCTAGACAATTGACTGGATTGTGAACTCTTTTCATAACATCCAACTAAACATCGAAAACCATTCAAGCTTGAACCAACAATACGATGATAACGCTGCTCTACAACGAATAAATATTTCTCAGCATCTAACACAATTCCGTTTGGACACTCTAGTGTAATTGTTGGATTTACTGATGTACTTCCAGCTACTGTGATACCATTTGATTCTCCCGACTGGAACAATTGAACACGATCATTATTATAATCTGCCACATATAAATCCAAATTCACGTCGACAAAGATTCCACGAGGATCTCCGAGTTTATTCGAGGCTGACCCGTCCACACCTGTTCCAGCAGCAATACGATTTAAAATCATCACAGAATCATTTAATGATCTTTTCACTACTTGATGATGA